ATGTGCGGGCCCGGTTGCGCACCGTGAGAGGCCGGGGCGCGGGCACCTGGGCCGGTTCTCCCTTTTGTGACATCCGCCGGGATTTGCGAAACCGCGTCTCTCCCGGTTTGAATGGAGGTTTTTCTACTTCTGCAAAATCAGCACTTCGGAGTTATTAAGAGTTTAAGAATAAAAGTACTCTACCTACTCGCAGATTTAAATGTACCTGCTTCATCCCTCGGTACCCAGGGGATTTGCAACACTGAACAGCCCAAATTTTGAGTTTCGTTACCTCGCTGAGGGGTTCGATGTTACCGTCTGGGCAACACAGTGTACCGTTACAAGTAGCCAAAGTTAATCCAAACTCGTAGTTTATGATTAATAGCTCCCGTATTGTGCAGAATCAATGTTACCAGAGTCAGTTTCTCCTCATGCTTCATGTTCATTTTTCTTCTTCAGTTCTCAGCTGCCCCAGACGGTTCCGTTCCGAGGAAGCCACTGGCAGAGTTCGCTGCTGGCGTTCAGGGCCTCCCTCCCCATGAGGTGAGTGCAGCCACCATGGAGTTAGGTCCAAGTGTTTTCATCCTTAGGGGAACCCAGATTTGGACACAAAAGTCCAGATTAACTTTAACTGTAGATGTTTGCTTTGACGTCACTCCATGTAAAACTAGTTAAGAACTGTTGGTCTCTTGAGGAGAGTTTAATGGTAACCTGGACAATTACCGCTTCCTGCTTGTGTGTAGCTGTATTTGCTTCCTCAGCCACAGAATGGCTGGAGATGTTTGGATTTATGCTGTGCTTCAGAATTCCCTTTAAGCAACAACGGAAAGCCTGGCTGAACTGAAAATACTTTACTGTGAAGTGATATACTAGGCAGCCCATGTTTAGGTAGATGTTACATTGTGGTACATATGGTTTTTTTGGATGAAACTAGATTCAAAATATCCTGGTAGCTGTTGGGTACCACTGGAGAGACTGTTTCATGCCGTAAAGCTTGTGCGATCTGTCCCACAGGTCCACTGTGAGGGTTGGTCTGTGGTTGTGGAACGTGCCATATGTTACTTTGGACATACTGGATCCCTGTACAACAGGAGAGGAACATTTGCACCTTGAGTTTAGTTCCAAGTGTGGAAATTTTAGAAGCACGTGTGAAACCACTCACTCTCTTCTTTAATGTGAGATGACAGAGTGTTTGCAGATGAACCTGTTAACTGCTTTGCTGCACTCTGAGCTAGTGCAAAACAATTTCAGTTCAATTTTGGTGGAACTTCCTTGGGTCATTCTGATGTTCAGAACAAAATCAGAGGTTGCTTTACTTAGGCAGGTACAGTTCTCTCTGCAGGAAAATCTCACAAGTCATATTTCTGTCACTTGGAAATTACATTACTTGAATAAAGCTGATGGCTGGAACTTTTATGAGGGCCCCAATTAAGCAATGGGAAGGAACAGTCCTTAGAAAAGCGGAAATGAAAGCTGCCGGTGTTAAATGACAAAGTATCTTCTGTCATTCATGTCATGACTTCCCTTGTAGAGCACAACCAAAGAAGAAGAAGAAAGTGGATGTAAAGAGAGAGCAAGCGCAGAAGGATCGTGTGAAAAAGAAGATTAAAAAGTTGGAAAGAGCTGCCCCAGAAATGATTCCAATAGAGGATTTTGTAACACCACTGAAGTACTCAGACAGCAACAGGTAAGTCAGGCTGCCTTTGTCCGTGCACTTGCATTCACGGTAAAAACACTTCTAATTTCTTTCTTTGCAAAACTGCAATTGGTTCAAAACCCAGCCTTGGTACAAAACCTTATCTGCTTCTACCAGTACAAAAATGTGAAAAGCAAGTTTTATTTTCTCCTCCCAGAAGCATTAAAAACAGTAATATGAATGGCCTGTTAGCATGACTACAAAACCTCACAGACAGACATTGCATTGACCTGTATTCTCTGGGTTTGGTGGTGGGTTATTTTTATTTATTCTGGGTTTTTGATGTTGTTTGGTGGGGTTTTTTTAATTTGCTTTTTGAGGTGCTGGCTATTTATCACAGCGTCACCTTGTTCTTTATCAGGGTGCGAAGCCTTCCCCCTCTGTCATTGGAGGAGACTGAAAGAAGAGTTTTACTTCTGAAAAAGTGGTCTTTGTTTAAGCAGAAGCAAGACGAGGCAGAAAAGAAAGCAATTCAGACTCTTGTAGAAGCTCAGCAAGAGGCACTAAAGGAACTGCGCCTTGAATCCGAGGAGTTGTATCAGGCAGCAATCAGACGAGATGAGGGGCTTTTGCCTTTTGAGAGAGATGGACCTAATTACACCCCACCACTTCCTGATTATGATCCTCCTGAAGGAAAATGTGTTGATATCACCAAAGTGTACACGCAGTGATAGAGGAGTGTGTTGGTCATCTGGCATGTGCTACTCAGCAGCCTGAAGGAGGAAAGAATGGAATAAGAATATACAATTCCTTCTGCAAGTTAAAATATTGTAGGTGTGTGACTAACAAAAAAACTTACTAATGAAGTATCTGTTTGGCTTTTTTTTAGCAGCTCTGTAGGTAGTGAGACACCCAACAAAACTACAGTACACTTGTGCCATGTTGCAACAAGACAGAGTAGTATGTCACAAGGTATTTTATCTTTCTGGGTTTATATCTTATCCCTCCATACACTCTTGAGCAGCCCTTTCTTGTTCTGTATAACCCCTAACTTGGAAGATCCCTGTGCTATGAGGGAAGAATGTCACAGTCACCACATTAGAATCTGTACTCTAAGGGAGGTAGCAGCTCACTGTTTACTGCCTTTCTTTGGAGACTTAGGTAAACTACCTTTGCACCGAGAGGGAAAACATGCTGTGGCAAAGCCAAAATTGTTTCTTGCTTTTTGTATTATCATGTAACTACTCTAAGTTTTTAAGGGTTTGCCCTTAAACAGAAAAGATAATTCTTCATTCATTTAAACCTTTATTTTTTGCAGTAATTTTGAATACTGCCATTGATACACAGCACCGTTTGAGAGCAGTTTCGCGAAGGGACAGGGTTGTGCTTTCAAGGTCTGCAACATCATCCCACTGGGTGAGAAGCTCTTAACTCATGACAATCATGAATCTCAGAAATGCCTTCTAAATGCCAGTGGCTGTGATTGCCCTGAACTGGCAGGGAGGAGTCCCAGTTGTTGTTTCCCTGTCAGGCAGGCCTGGGGAGGGTACCTTCCTCCAGAAGCACACAACACCTGCTGGTAGGGTGAGAGCTCCTGTCTAACAAGAGGAGCTAGATCACATATGCACTAATTTGGGAGTTGCTTGCCAAGGTGCCAAGATGAAATCCTGAATATTAAGGCAGCAGTAAGAGACCAGAATCAATTTAAGCACCTCAGTAGTCCCTTTAAAAAATACTGTGTTCAGCTCTCAGTATTTTTGAAAGAGTACTGAAATATTGGCAGGGCAGAGTTACATTTGTGTAATTTCAAGACGACATGGGAAAACAAACCCACCTAGCACAGTTCTGCATTGTCTATTATGTTACTGACTAAACACAGCAAAAAGTCTTGCTAATTTGGTTTGTCTTCATCAAGTGGAAGATACCAGTCAGGTGGTGGGCTCTTCCTGAACTTCCACACCGGAGCGTATTTCTGTTTTTCTGTAACTCGAGCTCTTTCGCTCTTGCATAAAGCTTCCTGAAATACAGGGGGAAAAAAATATTATCACAATGGTGTTGGATGTTCCAGTCTCACAGAGCTTATTTCCTGCTGTGACTATTTGAGATAAAACAAGGAACAGAAACTCATCATGCTCAAACAGAAGTGCCACATGCTAAGTAAGCCAGGATCCCACGTTTTAACTACGTCACGCTTGTGTTTTGCCCCTGACTCCTCCATTATGAGGAGAACTACTGCTGACATGCAGCCCTCCCCACCAGAAGTTGTCCCAGTTCGCTGCGGCCTGTGCCCAGGGGCTCTCCTGTCTCAGCCTGGCCGGGGGGCTGCAGCCAGGAGCGTTTCTGCACACCCCAGGAATACTTTTTGCCGGTAACGTGGCAGCTGTTTGTAGCAGGAAGGGAGTCAAGCGCAGAACACTGGAAACACTCCCTCTGGATGTTCAGACCACCCTGCCCGCCCCCACC